TATATAGAGATTTTTATATTCAAACACGGTCGGTAACGTCAGGTTGTCTCCGACAGCTTCCAGCCGCTTCAGGACCTCATACCTTACTTCATGTGCCTGGAGGGAGAATTCATGTTGGCCTGCGGGGCTTTGGTGCCGCTGCTGAACGCCCCCGCCTCGCGCCTCACGCCGCTCCTCTTCCTCTTTTATCTCCGCATCTTTGAAACGGCGATGGCACCAAAGCTGGTGGTTAGTCAGATGACAGAGCTCTGCCATTCTGATGCCACATGGGAGCCAATTGGAGGTCAGACAGAGCTGTATGACATCACATCATTCTTTTTAACTAAAACAACTGAGGATATTTGTTTTAGGGCGGAAAGTAAAACTCCCCCCTGTCTCTTTAGATGCTGTTCCACTGAAGCGTGCTGAGCTGGTGAAGTTTGCTCTCCGGTTTCAGAGTTGCTGCTCTGCCGTCTACGCTGACGTAAGTCGACAACATTCATCACGGTTCAGTTTTCAGCTTTTTTTTTTTTTTTTTACAAAAATCCCATCGTCCTTGATGCAAACCTCAGTTTTCACAGTAAAACAGCAGAACATCAACTTTTTATTGCTTAAAATGAGTTTTGTTTTCAGCGTCAGTAGTAATACGCAAATACAACAGAGCGGATGACCATGACACTCGGAGAAAAGATGCAAGGAAGAACCAATTTTTATATAAATCTTTATATTTTTATATAATTTTGAGTGTGGAGCCAGTTTGTCACCGTTATCACAGAGGAAAACAGTCAGGAACGTCTCGGGAAATTAAATCTATTGAGTGATTTGGTGCAGCTCGATTAAATTTGTGTTGTGCGCTCCACTTAGCACTGCTCTAGTTTGTTGTTGGTTTAAAAAGTGAAAGAACGTTTCCTGGATCCAGTCATTCGTCCGGATACGCACAGAAATGGAATGTGTTTTGTTTTCACCAAGTTTTGTGAAAATCTACTGAGTTTGTTTTTTTTCCTGAAAATTCGTCTTTATGTTGACATTTGACATCATTTGCCCCACGTGTGGGAACGCTGCCACTGCATTTAAATTAAGTGTTCCTCCTTTTTCTCAATCCGTGACCTTTTGTCTGATGCTTTTTTTTCCTGATTCAGTCGGAGTGTTGGACCCGTTTACTCACGCTGGTCAACGTACCCTCCTGTGGGTCAGTCACCGCTCTTCCAGCCCCTAACCCACAGTTTCTGCAAGTATGCATTTCTAGCTCTTTTACAAACGTATTTAAAACAACAAAAAAGAAAAGAAAATTCCTTTTCTATTTATTTATACTGGTGGTTTTTGGTCTCACTCACAATTCTTCTCTCCTCCATGTCCGGACTTCAGGAAGCAAAGGCCGTTGTGAATTCGATTCTGTTCAAGCCGCAGGGGTCAAATATACAGATCCCACGTTTCTTTCAGGAGGTGAGTCTGTGCGTTTGTGAGTGAGTGCGTTTGTGAGTGAGTGTGTGTGTGTACAAGTGGTAATTAACCGTTAGTAAATGTGTGCTTTTGTTTTGACAGGTTTACCCAGATCAGGCCTTGTTGCTGTTGGTTACAGGAGCTTTAGGTTTGAGAATCCTCAGTGCTGCTCTGACTCCGGCTCTCCCTGTCCTCAACACATTCAAGGTGTTTTACTTTTCTCTCTCCAGTGTCTCATCCTGTTTGTGGACATTACATCTCATTCATCACATTTTCATTAAAGGAAACAAATGGTATCACAGGATCTATCACTTATCGCACTGTGCTTTTTCCACATCATCACCTCCTCAGCGGAGGTGAAACAGTTTTCCGACGTGGATGAATTCTCTCAAAGTGAAACCGTGTTCGTCTGGATGAGTCATGAAGCTGAACCGAGAATCTACATGTTTGATGGTTTTTAACGGTATTGTTTCTGTCTCTCAGGAGAACGTGTGGGCCCTCTGGTGGCTGTGGGACACTTTGTCCTCCAACGCAGAACGTCTCAACTCCTTCTTACAGGAGGTCACGCAGGAGGTGGAAAACACAACGGGTATGTGAGCGACATGAGCAATATCGGCGTCCACTCGTTAATGTTGCTCTACAGCGCCACTGATGGTGGAAAATCTCTCCCTGCACTCGGGCAAGCGGGGTAAAGTTTTCACCTGTTTCACAGAAACATATTTCCTCTGGACTTGGTGGGAAGATTATCTCCAGATAACAAATATCAAAACAAAACTATGGTATTTTCCAAAAATATCTCTGCAAATATTAGAGACTGAAAGCTTATGTAGTTTGAAAATGAATTCACGGTGGCATGATGTCATCGTGACATCACTATAAACGCAGGGAAATGACATAATGTAAAGTTTTAATGCAGTAGCTTTTGCAATCAATAACTTCAGAGACACGATCCGCAGCTTATTGTGCGTCGTCATGTGGCGTGAACGGCGTCATGGTGACGTCATCACGACGTGTCATTAATCTGTATTTAAAAAGTTACCCTTGGGTATGTAAACAGAGCGCGCACACACACACACACACACACACACACACACTCCGCCCCTCCTGATGAAAACAGCTGCTTAACAAACCATCTCTCTGTTTCTGTTTCTGACAGATGGGGATAGTTCATTACTGTTTCTCCGCTCTGTCACACCCACTCTGTCTTCTTCAGCAGAGAACTGGGATCAGTGAGTCTTATTCATTTTGAGCCACAAAGTTCCAGCTGTAGAGTTTTGATTCTCTCCTTTTCAAAGTGGATTTTAAAAAGGCGTTAAGAGGCTCTGGATCTGATCTGTCGCCCCTTGTGTTTTTTTTTTCTCCATGTCCTCTCCTTGTGTGGTGGTGATCAGCACCTACTGTAAGTTGTTAGTCACATGGGGTGATCCTTCACTGTGGATCGGACCTGCCGGAGGTTTCGATCTTTAACTCTTGTCTCTGTGTTTCCGTCCTGCAGGCAGCCCAGCAGTGGTTAATCTCTTCTCCTCCCAAGTGAAGGCCCAGTCGCAGTGTTAGCGGTAAGTCCCAGCTCTCAGCAGCTGCTCGTTCCTTCACCGGTGGATAATGTTTGTTTTCAATCCGACTATAAATCAAGTTCAGCTTTCACTCAGTGTTTGTCAAAGAAAACACATCACAAGCCTTTTTTTTTTAAATCCGCTGACTCATCACCATCCTCATTAACTGATCCTTTTAAGCCTCCGCCAGTGACACCCGGTGGCTGGAGGTATTATATATTATGGGTTGTCCGTCCGTAAATTCAATTTCACTCTTTATCTACTCACCACCCTGCCGACGGAGGGGCGGGTGAAGTGTTCGAGTCCACAAAACACTTCTGGAGTTTCAGGAGTAAACGTGAAGTCAATGGTGACCAAGACTTCAGACACAACAGAAAGTTCATTTTTCAGATGATAGACTCAGTGTTTTTGGGTTCTTGTTCAGACAAAACATTAAGAAGTTTGTAAAGTTTGTACGGTCACACTGTGAGAAAGACAACGAGAACTGATCTGACAGCAGTTGCGCTCAGTAAACGGCGTTTGGTCGCTTCAGGCCGTTATTTGATCTGAATAATTGGTTCGGTGTTCAGATACAATCAATCATGTTTAATTACTGAAACATCAACTTCTTCAAATCATTTTTAATAAATACCTTAAATTAGTCAGTTAATCATCCAGCACTAGTGTTGATTAAGGGTTTAAAACTGGTGTGTGAGTAGATGTTTCTTAATATATTTCACATTAATACATTTCTCCATTTGCACCTACGAGGAAAAAAAAAAATAAAAAATTTACAAAGTTGTTTGTGGAAATAATAAAAATATCAGAAACTTGAAACAGCTGAAAAGTTAAAAATATTTTCTTTGTCTTTGCAGATTGTCCTGATTGCACATCGACACGCTCAACATCTTGAATCGCCACGGTTACTGCAACGTCTCCACCACAGAGTCGAGCACTGAGAGACTTCAACCTCACGCAGAAGTCAGAAGGATCATTTACACTAAATGCTGCTTTATTCTTTCATGATCTTTTTTCACGGTCTGATCTGAACAGGAAAAAAGTTTAATCCGGCTCTGTGAGATTTTCTTTTCTTTTAATTAAATGATTGTTTACTTTCTGGAAACACTTTTAGATATTCACTATTTTTATTGAGACATTTATGTAACTGTAAATAAAAAAAGAATAACAGCTTTATGAATCGAATGAGTGGAAGAGAAGAAGAATTACGTCTCGGTCGCTCTGGGTTATTGTTTAACATTTTGAATTCCCGTGTGAAGAATGTGAAATTTTCAGGGAACGTAAACGCACGTTAAAATCAGCTCCAGCTTGTGACGTGAAATAAACAGAAAAGTACAGTGATTCACAAAAAACACGTTGTCGTACTTTCTAGAGTTTGAAGGACAAGTGGTGGAAGTTTTTAGTTTTTTTCCAGCATTAAAAATATGTGTAGAAATATAAATAATCTGGGAATTAACTAAAGCTGTCAAATAAAAGTGTTTCCCTGTACGTGGTGGAGAAAACGGAACAAATCAGAGTTTAAAAGTAAAATTCACCAAAGTGCACATTGATTGACAAGAAATATTTCACAAACAACAGATTGTTAAATCTGGATTTTGAATGTTGTTATTAGAGTAATTTATACAGTACGAATACTTTTTGTCTGAATATTTCTTCCACTGCTGCTAATTATTGAAACTAAAACGATTTCACGAAGTGCTTCACAAGAAGAATAATAAAATCCATGGCTACATTTTAAAAACGTCTTCACCAACAGGTCGAGTTGAACCATAAACTATTTAAAGATGGACGACTGGAAAGTGAGTCGTCCATCTTTAAAATCAGAATCGAGCTCGAAGCTTCAGCTCGACTGTTTTAATACTAAACGTAAAACTGAATCAGCCTCCGTGTGATTCTGCGTTCAGACTGTTGCTGGTTTAAAATTGCACACACGTGGCTCAATTGTCTTAAATCACAGAGTTCACACGTTAAAACCTACATTTTAAAAACACACTTCAATAAAAAGAAAAACCTTTAAGTACTTGACACGTCGAGCATGTTAAAGGTTTTTGGTGCCCGAGAGACACTAGTGCACTAATGTACAGTAAACAGATACATGACGGAGCAGGAATCATGTAACCACACCAACATACAAACATCATGTGATTGTTTTGTCGTCACATGTTCACAGTGTCAGATGATGTGAAACCTTCAGCATCAGATAAAATTACACAGAATTCAGTGCATTCGTTTTGTGTTCTTCCGGTGTCTCGTGGACTTCATGTTGTGTACGTGTTTCTGTGAAGCTGCACCGAGCTGTAAGAGAACCTTAAAACCGGCGGTCCGCGTCCTGCGTGGCGCTGTTTGATGAGCTCGGACAGGAAGTTCATCACTCTCGCGTCATGTTCGCTGCCGCAGAATCCTGGTGCGGGGGGGTAATCTTTTCCGTCGGTGCCGCTGGGACGTCGTGAGGCAGGACGAAACGTGAACAGCAGAGCCTGGTTGACCAGCGCGGTCAGGCAGCTCTCCAGGTGCAGCAGGTAGGTGGCGCCTCGGCTGATGGCGCTGTGAGGATCGGCCATCCTGCTGATGAGGGAGCCAGAGTATGACGGACAGCGCAGCGTCCTCTGGTCCAGGTCCAGCAGAGCCAGGTAACGACTGTAGCGGCTCAGAGAGTGAATGATGCTGGACGAGGAGCTGGAGGGAGATCTGGTCCAGAGGAGAAGAAGAACAGTTTTAGAGGCTGTTTGTGTATTAAAACATACATTTAAACCCGAAAACTATTTCTATCCTCTCCTTCAGCATCTTCAAACTCCTGACTGAATGTTTTGCTTTCTGTCATTTCAAACAAATCCTTTACATCTGAAGATCTTAATTCACCGCGACTGCTTTCTTGAGATTTCAATCATGTGTCACATCATGTTAGTCATAACAGGCTGATTTAATCATCTTGATAATTTGATTATTTTTATTTCACCAGAATCAACTGAGACAGAAGATCATAAAAAACCGGCACACGTGAACAATAATTAAAATAACTTCCCTGCAGATAAACCAGATAGGATGAACACAGTTATCTAAAATACACACGATGTAAAAATAGATAATAAACACAATGTCAGTAGGAGCAGGGAGAATCATGTGACGAAACACTGATGGGTCTTGAAACAATGACGCTCAGAATGTTTAGAAGAGCGAATAATTGATGAGTCATCGTTCAGCTGACAAAGCGTCTTATTGAGGAGCTGAGGTCGTTATGAACGTGTCGGAGAAGAGGACGAGTGTGACTTCAGACTAACTGCTGCATTTCCACTGATGATAATTAAGAGTTTGTTTCCTGTAAAACCGATAAATAAATCCGGGCGAGGACATACGAGGGAGATGTTCTCGCTCGCTCGGCCGTTTGGTGTGTTGTGGTACCTGTGTATCCCGATCAGCCTCCAGGTGAGCAGGTCAGTCAGTTGAAGCGGCGACGTCAGACACGGCGTCACAGCGTTCCTATCGGGAGCCGGCAGGAAGAGGCTCAGAGCGTCCACCAGCTTCCTCACCAGACTCTCGTCTCCTCCGATGACAACCAGCGGCCGGCCACTCAAGAGGCAAAACACGGCATGATGGGAGAAGGAGTTCTGCTTGACGAACCTGAGGGCCCTCAGACCGGCCTTCCTTCTCCTCCTGTCTGAACGGGCGTTGGTGTGGATGTTCTGAGTGGGGGAGGGGGGCTCCGAGGAGCCTGTGAAGCTGGTGCAGTCAGACGCTTCGTCGATGCTCAGCTGCCTGAAAGGGGCGCGGGGCGGCGACCAGCGTTCAGCCTCCGCCAGGGCGACGGGGGGGGCGAAGTTCACACGGAGGTCCGGCACCAGCTGGACCATCTGACGGACTTTGGACAGGTTTGGCATCAGCTCCACTGCTTCTTTGACTGTGAAGTAAAAACTGTTTTGTTATTTCATTTTAACACTGGAGCTGCCACACTATCATGGAGGCCTCCTCCTCCTCCTCCTCCTCCTCCTCGTGGGAGGTTTACTGGGAACCTCCGACCCAGAGGAGACCCCGGGGACGAGCCAGAACTCGACTCTTTCCTCCATTTTGTCCGTCCCCTCACTTTGGAGATATTACATGTTCATTAAAACGGCTCCGCCCAAGTTAAATGTTTTGTCGTAGTAACGCACAAGGGAACCAAGCGACCCAGGGAGATTATGGGAACTCCCATGATCCTACGCTGCTTCACAACCTCACCAAACTGGGTCTTTTGTTATTGTTTTGATTGGGAGACCCCTAGAGGCTGAAGTGACGTATTGCACATTGGAAAACCGGCATCAGTGTCGGAAAATTTCAAGTTCTCGACTAAAAAGATCTGTGTAGTTGGAATACGTCATCATTTTAACCCCATTGATAAATACTGTAACAGACGTTTTCATTACCTTTCAGTATTTTAGACGTTTTCTTAGGACGCTCGTCTTCGTGCTCTTGATTCTTCTTCAAACACTCGACTGGTTCCTCTTTGATCTCGACGCCATCGCGAACAGTCACTTCCTTTAGAGGCTCTTCTCTGTCATCATCACCGTCGTCCCTCTGAGCGAACTGATCGTCTTCATGTTGGCGTCCTTCGCTGGTCACGTTCAGGATCTTCTCCTCTCTGAAGTCGCTGTGAGGTTTACACTCCGTCAGCGTCTCCTCGTCGTCGTCACAGCCGTTGCTCAGAGGCTGCTGCTGCTCCGCCTCTTCCTCCGTGATGGCGGTGAGGTCGTCGGGAAAGATGGAGTCGGTGGTGCTCAGGACCTCGATGCTGTCCTCGCTGTTGGCTCGTCTGGCGTACGCTCGCACGCGTCTGGCACCTGTGTCCACCGACGCTCGTTTGAGGGGGGGGTCCATCAGCAGGACCGGTGTTTCTGATGAGGAGAGAAAACTGTCAGCTGGTTCTGATGTAAACAAGCGGCTGGATTCATCCTCAGATTCATTTCTATATTAAATTTGATCATTTAGAGTCAAAACAGAACGATTTACAAAACACATGACGAAAAACAACAAAGTCACATTTTAGAAACTGAAGCATTCTTTACTGTTAAATAAAAGTTTATAAACATTTGGACGTGGGTCCAGAGAAAAAGGGGTAAATTGAGAATTTTTGTATAATTTTATTTAACATTTTCTGCAGTTTCCCAAAGAATCACTCACGGAGCTTGGTTTTATAAAATCAAGCATTAATGGGGAACTGATATTTATACGTTTGTGCAACTTGAACCAGCAGATTTAAATGTGAAGAAGAGGAACATTGGGCCTTAGTCAAAACATGCGACTCTAGTTTCCTGTTTTATTTGATATCAAATGAATCACATTTCTGTACTTGCACTTTTTGTTATTACTGATATACGAGCGTGTGCAGAGTCTGGATTGAATCGGCGGGGACTGATGCTCTAGTCACTGACTTCCTAATTGCTTCTCAAATCCAAAAATATTAATTATAAATCATCGTAAAACTTGAGAAGCCGATGTTTGTTTCGTTGGTTTTCCGTTTGTTCGATAAAGAATTCAAGAAGCTAACTGTTGATCTTAATCAGCGGTCGTACCTCTGCTGTCACACCCATCGACGTCATGCTGCGTCCGATAGGATTTCTCAGTGCCGAGCACTTCAATGCTGTCGCTGCTGCTCACGCTTCCTGTCATCTCCATGACAACGCTGGGGTCAGAGGTCACCGTCCCTCCTGCCTCCAGTTTGATGGGGATCTCCTCCACACAGGAGCAGAAAGACTCCAGGCTCATTGGCTCAGAGCTGGTCGTCCTGACGACGCTCTGACTCGCCCTCTGCAGCTCAGCGACCTCCTTCTCCTCCTCCTCTTCGTTCTCGGTGCTCCAGTAATCGAACAAGAAGTTGGTGAGCGTGAGCCTCCTGGACAAGGAGCGCGACACCTGAACAGTTCGCAGGACGCTCCTGTCGCCTCGGAGGCGGCGCTCCGTGTCCTCCAGCTGCTCCTTCATCAAGGAGAGGAAGTAGTCGTTGCAGAGCTCCTGCAGGGGCTTCAGGCTGTGCTCGGACCTGCGGGGGGAGGGCGTGGGGGGGCTCTGCTCAGTGGGCAGCAGAGCTGTGGGATCAGCGAGGGAGTCGGCGGGGTCGTAGGGCAGGAAGTCAGGCTGTTTGAGCTTCCTGTTTGGGTAGGATGTGACCTGGCGCAGGAGGTCTCTGTGGTTTAAGATTGAACGCTCCACAGATTCGAGATCACCGGCTTGTCCTCCGTCTTCTGTGAAGCCGTTTACAGTCGACAGATGTTTTGTCTCCTGAAGCAGAGTCAGCCTCCTGTACCTGAAGCAGAGACTTTCATTTAGTCGACGCTCTTAAAGTTGACATATTCACCGACCCCTGAACATTTGCAATAAATAATATCAGCTGTGTAAAGTGGGTTCTGATCTTACTCGAGCTCTTGCAGTTTTCTCTGCAGCTCCATGGAGAACGCCTGCCTGTTCCCCGTCTTGAGGCTGTCAGACGCCCGAGAGAAGCACGTGGACAGTTCGGTGAAGTTCTCCATCAGCTTGGCCTGGTCCGAGCACACGTAGGCCATGCAGAAGGGACGCACCATGCCCCGAGCCTCCAGGTCGTACAGGGTCAGGTGGTGAACGTACGCGAAGGCGTCCTCGGCCGAATCTCCCAGGATCACCTTTGAGTCCTCGCTGAAGTTGAGGCGGGGGCCGGGGGAGGCGTGGGAGGCGTGGACGGGGCCGGACGCCTGGTAGTCCACGGACATGATGCGGACGGAGAAGTGGTTGAGGTCAAAGGAGCCGATGACTCTGGGGTCGTCCGGTATCGTCAGCACCGGCTTTGGACCCACCTGAAAACAAAGAAGAGGTTTGAATGATAAATAATATAAAGTTTTATCTTTAATCCTTTANTGTGTGTGTGTGTGCGGCTGTGAATGACAACTTGATCATAACTTGAAAATTAGAACTATATTCTTCACACCCAAACAATTTTACATTTCTACTTCTGCCAATGGCAATCTGCAACCAATGACTGTGCTTTAAAATATATTTACAATCAGTGGATAGTCCGTACCATAGCCCGCTGCAGGTCCTGAGCCCCTCCGATCTGAGCTTCAATCAGGTGATCACAGTGGATGGTGGAGGGCACAGCCACCTTGGGCAGACCGCTGCTGATGAACTGAAGCATGGCCATCTGCGCTGTGGCATCCTGCATGGCCACGCGGTCCGGACGCAGGCGCAGGTAAGTGCGTCCACGGTCAATCTCCTGCCCTGCAGGATCATCCAGGTGACCATACACGATCTTCTCCGACAGAGTGAGAGGCCTGCCGAGCCTGTTGGGGTGGATTGTTGGAATAATGTTAATATTGTGTTGGGTTTGTAGAATCAGATAAAGAATGTTTTTAGTTGATACTGTTTGTATTTAATAAGAAATGCAGCTTTACCTTCGAGAGCTCATGCATGAAATGTGTCATTTTAACCCATAAACTCTGTAACATACTATTTCTGATGAGTTGCAATAAAGCAAGGTAAACCCTGGACACCAGCAACTATGACTTATCAACACAGGAAACATTTACGGGCCGACTATTCCTTTAATAGTGAGTAAGGCATTTCCTATTCCTGGATTACAGCGCATGGTCAAAAGGGGAACAACAGGTCATCCAAAGTTAGCTTTGGCAAGTCAGAGATTAACTGTGCAGCTGTTACTGACACCATCCATTCCTCCATGTGTATGTGCATGTGAACTTTTGAAAAGGGCAACTGCTGCTGACCTCCTGCGTACAGTGTTGATGTTCTCGTGCATCTTCTCATAGTTAATGCTGGAGCCGGGCTCAAAGCGGCTCATGGCCACCTTGGCTTTTGCGCTGAAGGCTGCGGAGACATGAAACCGTCTCACCCCAGTTCCAAGGGCCAGCTAGACCGGGGGGAAAAATAATACAATTCAGACCATTAACATCATAAACAAAGTTTTATGGTAGAGTTTAGGACCAACATATACAGCTTTTTATTAGATAATAACTATGGAGCGGAAAGAGAGGCAATTAACTTAACAATGAGAACACATAACCAGGGACCAAAATAGCTGAGGTAAGTTCAAATCTAATCTTGCACTGTAAGTGGCACCAATAGAAATTTGGCCAACAAACACAAAGACTACAGGCGAATCCGCTATTTTATCCACCAAACTATTTTATTTCCTTTTATAGCTGTACTCCAACTATGCTAGTTGCCAAAAATGCTCTACTGGACTCTGTTCAATCATTAGAACTTGTACATATGACCTTTCTATGTAAATTACAGACAATGTGATTCAGCAAACACAGGCAGTGAAGACAGTACTGCTTCAAAACTCTTGTTTCATAAAAAAATTAAAAGTCGGGTCCAAATGATCTGCTCATTGTGCTGCTGTAATACGTAGAACAAAACATTAAATATACAAATATCACGTCATTATTGGACATAATAGTTGATGGTTGATTTCTTTTATCTGAGCCTTTTAAGGGCTGGATACAACCTATGATTCCAATGAGTGAGGGTATGTGTAGAAGGAAGGAAATCTTTAAAGCAAGTAGCTATGTTCAGTTGCTTAATGTCGTCCTTTAGTGTTAATATTCAGTGGAAAGTCTCTGTGTTCGAGAAACTGGGTGAAAGTTTATACAGCTCATATTGCAGGAGTTAGCCTCATCCACTGGACCGTTACTGACAGCCCGACAGTCCGTCTCCTACACTGTTAATTATGTATGAGCACAAGAGGTACACATCTACTGTCTGTAACATCTGAATTAGAACCATTATAGCAAGTCAATCTAACTTTAAAGTGCCACCTTTTAGATCTTGCTTTTAATTCAGCTTTAGTCTGTATTAAAATTGTGTTAATGCCTATAATTATTTTATTATATCTATGTCTTTATAACTTATCTGTTATTGCCTTTTTACCTTGTTTTCCAATTGTGTTCCTAACACAGAACATTTTCTCTTTTCTAACCAATGCTTGTGTTGCCTTCCTTTGCCCTTTATTTTAGCAAAATTTATTTAATGACTATTAATGCTTTTTAATGACCCACAGAAACCCTGGTACGGTTTGTATATACAGTATTTACAACAATAATATAAGTTGAGCTTAATGAGCTTAATGAGCTTAACCCCCAAACTCAACTTTACATTTCAAAGAAAGTGAGACAGAGGACTGAGACGATGGACTTTTCTCCTAGTTTTATTTATTTTTTATTAAGAAAACAATAATGACTAACTTTGATAGTTTAAAAAAAACACCATTAGAGGATGTACGCATCATTGATTTGACAGACTTTATAGAAGATGTCGATATATACGATACAATACTACACCGATCAGCTGGACAGAAAATATGTAAACAATATAAATCCTATCCCGTCGTCCCTGAAGCCAAAGAAGTGGTGTTTAAGATCTTTAATGACATTTATCCAATCAATCATTTCTCACATTAAAGATTTAAATTCGTGTAAATTCTGTGAGAGGGACATTGAGACAGTGGAAAACGTTTTCCTCTAAAGTGATTTGGTGCGAGGAGTTTAGTCTTATTTTTAGAGTTGGCTGCAATTCAGAATTAAGATAAAGGGATAAACCCTGTGAGCGTGAAGCTGGAGTAAGGATTTAAAAAAATAATTCTGTTAGGTGAGCATTTTATACATACATGTAAATATTTAAAATCAGCAGATGAAAGAATGAACCAAAGATATTTGTTAAATACCTTGAAACTTCCTTGTGCTGCTTGAATAAAAACTTCTATCTGCTCATTTTTATTGATTTAAACATATTAAACAGGTTTGTAACCATCGTTTAGAATATTTCATTTTATTGTAATTATCTAGTTAAATAAAGAATATGACTGCGGGCCACTCAGCTGCGCAGCGTCGTGAACACAACTCTATAACCTTGTGATCACCTTGTAAACACCGGGACGCGGATGTGTGTTGGTATAAATGAGGTCGTTAGTGACACTGACTGAACTAAACCTGGTTATTATCGGTAACGATGATTTAACGCTGCTCTTCGTCAGGTGGGACTTTGGCTTCTAACCAGTTGGACCGGAGTCAAACGGGGACGCGGTGACCTGACGGGGTGGAGGCTCGTCGGTTACTTCGCTCCACATTCACCGGGCCCGGGTCAAACGTGGCAGCCGTGTGTCCGCGCCACACGACAGCAGACACACGTGGCGACGCGTTCACTACACAGCTACACAACTCAACACTCTGCGAAAGAGGAAATAACGTTTTCTTACCCGCAGCCTAGTGACAGTCAAACAGTAAGACGCCATTTTGTTCACTGACAAAGAAAGAGTGTCGCCTGACTGTGACGTCACGGGCCGAAGGAGCCCGTTATTTTCATCGCGGATATTTTTTAATATCTTGTTTTATTATA